CGCCCGGCCCGGCGCTCGTCGTCCGGGATGCGGAGCCGGGGGCCGCCGGTGGAGCTGCGCGGGGTGAGAGGCGCGGGGAAGGAGGGCTGTCTGCTGCCCTCGCCCTCGTCCCTCACCGGCGGGCCCCGGCAGGAAATCGGGAGGCGTGCGGCCAGGCCCTCTTAGCGCCCTGACATTGGGGCGGAAAGGAGAACCTGCCACCCGACTCCCACCCCGCCCCTCCTGGACGACCGAATCAGAGGGGATAACCCTGCCCTTTTAAAGAGGTTTTTTCTTGCTCCTGCGGAGGGCCCCCCAGCCATGACCCCCAGGAGCCCCCTAGCACCTGCAGGGACTGCCCCCCATCCTGGCCGCCGGGGCCCGCCCTCTGAATCCCGCGGGCAGCCTGTGTGAAGCAGCTTCCCGCAGCCCCCGGCCCCTCCCCCATGGAGGAGGAGGAGGGGGCGGCGGCCAAGGAGTGGGGCACGAGCCCCGCAGGGCCCGTCTGGACCGCGGTGTTCGACTACGAGGCGGCGGGCGACGAGGAGCTGACGCTGCGGAGGGGCGACCGCGTCCAGGTGCTTTCCCAGGACTGTGCTGTTTCGGGCGACGAGGGCTGGTGGACCGGACAGCTTCCCGGCGGCCGTGTGGGCGTCTTTCCCAGCAACTACGTGGCCCCCGGCCCCCCTGCCACACCCGCGGGCCTTCAGCTGCCCCAGGAGATCCCCTTCCACGAGCTGCAGCTAGAGGAGATCATCGGTGTAGGAGGTTTTGGCAAGGTCTATCGGGCCTTGTGGCGCGGCGAGGAGGTGGCCGTCAAGGCCGCCCGGCTGGACCCTGAGCGGGATCCAGCAGTGACAGCAGAGCAGGTGCGCCAGGAGGCCCGGCTCTTTGGAGCCCTGCAGCACCCCAACATCATTGCCCTTAGGGGCGCCTGCCTCAGCCCCCCACACCTCTGCCTGATAATGGAGTATGCCAGGGGAGGCGCACTGAGCAGGGTGCTGGCAGGTCGCCGGGTTCCCCCTCACGTGCTGGTCAACTGGGCTGTGCAGGTGGCCCGGGGCATGAACTACCTACACAATGATGCCCCTGTGCCCATCATCCACCGGGACCTCAAGTCAATCAACAGTAAGTGATGTCCTCTTCCTAAAACAGAACCTTGTGAGGTCAAGCCTAGATGCCAGGAAACAGGGCAAGGGATACCAGATGACATTGTGCCTGGGGCAAGAAAGGGCAGCAGAATACTTCAGTGCCAGGTGAGACAGGTCTTGTCCCCGTTAAGGGAGGAAAAGGAGGCTCAGAAAGGTCGAAGGACTTAACTGCCTCCCAGGCGACAGAGTCACAATAGCTCAATAAATATGTATCCATGAACACTGTGACAGGCCCTGCATTCCCTGCCATGAACAGGACAGATGCAGTGCCTGTCCTCCTGGCGCTCACCAACCAACATGGTTACAGTCCACCAGGAAGAGACACAAAGAACCTAGCCTACCTGAAGTCAGGATTTCTCAATCCTGGCACTATTCACATTTGAGGTAGTATCATTGTTGTAGGGGGTTGTCCTGTGCATTGTAGGTTGTTTAGGAGCATTTTGGGCCTCTACCCACTAGATGCTGTTAGCACTGCCTACACCCTGTCTACAGCTATGACAACCAGAAGTGTCTCCAGACATCAGCAAATGTCCCCTGGGGAGCAGAATCGCCCCCAGTTGAGAACCTCTTCCTGGAGTCCTCCTAGGCCTCTGGCCCAGCTGGCCAAGGCAAACTGGAAAAGATGAGGAAGGAGGAAAACAGATGTGTCTTATATGAAAGCTTACAGGCAGCTTGACCTATCACAGGTTCTCAAAAGTTGATTGGTTGTTTGAATTAATAATTCAAAATGGAGCCAAGTAGAAGGGCAGGGTCCCCAGGACACATATCTAGATCAAAGAGCTTCTCCTGGCATCAGCAAATATTAATTGAGTACCTATTAAGTTGGAGCCCAACAGGGACCAAGATAGCCACGGTTTCTACCCTGACAGCGCTCATAAACTAGAAATTTGATTCATTCGTTCCACAGATATTTCCAGAGTGCTATGTGCCTGACTCTGTCCTAGGAATAGAGCAGCAGAAAATCCTAACTTCCTGGCTCTCCCATGTTTGCTCTGCCCCATTTCACTCCCTTTCATCTCTTCCTTCATTTATTCATTCTTTCACTTGGTATTTACCAGGCCAGATCACGTGCTAAGCAAGAGGGATCAACAGTGAATGAGGCCAGTATGCTCCTTGCCCTCACATTGTTCACCAGAAGGTGAGGCCTCCTCCTTTGCCCTCAATGCTCACAATTCCTGTCAATCCTACATCTTGGAATTTGTTTGAGTCCATCCCACTATTTTTATTAGTTTGTTGCTCTGCCCCTACCAATAAAAACAACTATAATAAGCCCCTGGAACAATGGGCTGGGTCTTCCTTATCTCCCAAGCCCAACATTCATACACTCAACAGATAGCTGCCAAGTGCCACAATATGCCACGGCCTGTACCAGGACTGGGGAACTGAACAAGACAGACACAGTTAGTCCCTGCTTTCATCAATCCTCATGCTCGCCCTAACTGCTCTGAAATGCTAGGTAAATGGAGGCAGGACCGCCAACATGCTCCTCTTGAAGGCTAGAACTCCTTCTTGGCCCTTCCTCACCCTTGCTGATTCACAGCACGCCCACACCCCCAAGTTTTTCTGTAGCCAGTGCTACTTGGACAAAGGGTCAGTGGAGCACTTAAGGCAAGGCTTTCCTGCTGGGACAATGAGACTGCTGCCTACCTGAGACAGGACACAGGGCCTGCAAAGCACTGCTTCCCCCATTTATCCTTCCCGAAGAAGCTCATCTGGTGTCATTCATTCATTGGTTCATCTGACCAATAATTTTTAAGCACCTACTGTGTGCTAGGCACTATCTTCAGCTCTGAGATTACAGAAGTGAATAAGTCAAGATTCTTCCCCCATTATGGAATTTATATTCTAGTAAACAGTAATAGATGATAGATAGATACATAGATAGCAAAATTTCAGAGAATATCTGGGGCTGTCAACAAAATAAGGCAAATTAAGAGTGGGGCAGAGGGAGCTCTTTAGATCAGTTGGTCAGAGAACATTTGAGCAGAGACATGAACAAAGAGGATCCAGTCTTACAAAGATCTGGAGGAACAGAAGGGCAAATGTCCTGAGGTGGGAGTGAGAAACAGCAAGGAGACCAGAACAGCAGAAGTTGAGGCAGAGGTGGGAGGAGATATGATCAGAAAGGTGGGCAGGGCCAGATCACGTAGGACCTTGGGGGCCATGGTGAGGATTGTGGGTATTTTATTTGATGTAATGGAAGCTGTTAGAGGGTTTTAAGCTGAAGGTGACATGGCCAGATATAGATTTTTAAAGGGGACTGATTTAGGCCCAGCCTGGGAGGTACAGAAATAAAGTGTAAGACCATAAGGTGTTTCCTTTTTCACAGTTTCTACATAAACAGGAAAGGTGGGGACCTAAGAAGAGAGGACTTCTAGGGAGGTGGAGTCACAGGCTGGGAAGTCACAGGAGGCTTCCAGAAGGAGGTGACATTGAAGTTGCGCTTTAAAGGATAGACAAAATTACCAATTATGTGACCTTGGGCAGTTTACTGATCTCTCTAACCCTCAGTTCCTTCATCTGCCAAATGGGTGTGATAATAGAATTACCTCGTTATTATTATCATGACTGGGGAAGTAGCCAGGAATGGCTACTTTAAAGATAAAGGTAGAGAAATAAGGAACAGTAATGGAGACCTCACACACTAATATTTAGTTAACACTTTCAAAGGACCTACTATGCTTTGGGCAATAAATCCTTACTGTAACCCTAGGAGGCGAATACTGTTATCATCCCTGTTTAACAGAGGAGAAATCTTAGTGTGAAGAAAGATTGATTTTACGAGGTTATGTAGCTAGTAGGTTCCAGAGCTGGAATTCAAACCCAGGCATACACTGTACACTGGAGCTGTGTTTGACAGAGGTAGTGAAATTAGCAGTTAAGAGATTGGGCTCTGGCAGGACAAAGACTTGAACTAGTTCTGTCATCGTTTTCTAGCCATGTGATCTTGGCCAAGTGACTTCTCCAAGCCTTAGTTCACTAGTCAATAAAAATGGGTTGCTTTCTAGTCAATTCATGTGAAGGGCTTAGCACAGTGCAAACACTAGCCATGATTATTACCATTGTAATAACTCTGGGCAGCAGATTGAACTATTCAGTCTGCTTGGGGGATACAGTTGTCAGATTTTGTCACAATAATACTGTGTAACAAACCACCCCGAGAACTTGGTGTCTTAAAACAGCAGTCATTTATTACTGCTCACACATTGGCAGGCCAACTAGAGGGTAAACTGATTTAGGCTGGGCTCAACTGGAGAGGCTTTGCTCCAGGTAGCTCTCATCTTCCTTGAAGAGCAGGCTAGCTGAGGCATGTTGTCATGGTGACAGCAGGAGTACAGGAGGGCAAGCGGACATGAGGCCTCTTACAGCCCAGGCTTGGAACTGGCACCCTGTCATGTCCACCCCATTCTTGGCAAAAGCAAGTCATGTGTGGCCAACCCAGATCAAAGGATGGGGAAATACACTCAGCCTCTCTAGTGGAAAGAACTGCAAAGCCACATGGCAGAGTGTGGACATAGGAAGGGGCAGAATTGGGCCCTGACTGCGGTATATCACGGGGGTGACAAAGACGAAAGGAAAACCACATTCATCCCTCCTGCTCATGGTTTGCAGTTCCCACTTCCAGGGTGGTTGGAAATTCAAGACCTGGACCAAGGAGAACCGAGGCCTTGGTCATTGGTTCTTGACCATTCATTGAGCTCCCCAGAGCCCAGGTTGGAGTCAGGAGGGCAGAGGACACAGGGGAAGCTCCCTACTCCCTCATGAGAACCTGGGACAGGGATTAGGCTGCTGTGGAAGGGCTCACAGGTGTTCCAGGCCAGGAAAGGAGCTGCCAACAGTGGGACAGCCTGAGGTAATAAGGGAGAGAACAAGTAGGTGCCAGCTGAGGCAGGGGGCCAGGATGCTGGGGTCTGCAGCCCAGCAAGTTGGCTGACCCACCTCTCTTCCCACCCCACAGTCCTTATTCTGGAGGCCATCGAGAACCACAACCTCGCTGACACGGTGCTCAAGATCACAGACTTTGGCCTCGCTCGCGAGTGGCACAAGACCACCAAAATGAGCGCTGCAGGGACCTACGCCTGGATGGCGCCGGAGGTTATCCGTCTCTCCCTCTTCTCCAAAAGCAGTGATGTCTGGAGGTGCTGAAAGGCAGGGCCGGGATGGCGTCTGGGAGGTGGGGGAGGGAGGAAGGGTGAGGACAGACTAGGAGGGATGGTCTCCCACTGAAGCCAGGATCCAGGCTTGGCAGAGGTCCTGCTGGCAAGGTCAGACCACCAGACAAGTGCCAAAGCAATTACCTGCTCTGCTAGCAGAAGTGGCAACTGAGGAGCAACTTCAATTAGAATAAAAAATTCAAAAGATGTAGATGCGGATGTCAGCACTAAAAGGCCCCCGAAACACCATCCAGTACACCACCCACATTTGTCAAACAAGAAATTGAGGCCTTTGGAGGCAATCATTCATTCATTCATTCATTCATCTATCCATTCATTCATTCATCCAACTGCTCTGGTTTCTGAAGATACAGCAGTGAACAAAAATAGACACAGGCTGGCTGGTTAGCTGAGCTGGTTAGAGCACAGTGTTGGTAACCCCAAGATCAAGACTTTGGATCCCCATACCAGCCAGCTGCCAAAAAGAAAAAAAGTAAATAAAAGTTTTAAAAAATAGACACAGTTCCTGCCCTTAGGAATAGTAAATACATACATACATACATAAATTTTCAAGAAGAATTTTAAAAAGCTTTTTTTAAGTTGAAATTGTAAAATAATTTTTTAAAGACAGTAAGTAAATACACCAGAAAAGTATTAGTGTTAAGAGCTAGGAGGTTGACAGGAAGGCACTTTGAGGGCTGGAGGACTACTTTTGAGAAGGCATTTTTGAAGAATGATACTTTAGTTGAGTTCTGAATGGCAAAAAGGAGCAAGCCATGCAAAGTTTGGGGAAAGAAGCTTCTCAGGCAGGGGGAGCAGCTACCCCAAAGGAAGTACTGAGGTGAGAATGAGCGTGGTGTGTTCCAGAAATAGCTGGTGCAGAGCAGGCAAGGAGGAGAGAGGCAGGGAATGGTGTAGGAGAGAAAACTGGAAGGCCTGTGGGTGAGGGAATGGACTTCAGGTTTTCTTCTAGGTGCAGTGGAAAGCCATTAGGGGAGTTTATGAATGACATGATCTGATTTAGTATTTTAAGAGCTCTCATGGCTGTTGGGTGGAGAATGGATGGTAGGGAATCGGAGTGGAGGCAGGAAACCAATGACAAGGCTGTTGGTGTCACCAGCGAGAGTTGATGGTGGCAGCGTAAACTTTTCAACCCAGGTTTGGAAAATGGTTGAAGCCAAACCTAGGTTCCCCCCATTTGCTGTTCCTATCAGTCCCCCACTGAGGCTCCTGATTGCCCCAGGAGCAAATTAATGGGTTTGGGGTAGAGACAAATCAGACAGGAAGTCCAGGCTCAAACTAGAGCAGAGCAGCCCTTTGGGAGAAGTTCCATCTGGCTTTACTTTCAGGTGTTTGTTTATTGTACCAACTTTTTTTTTTTTTTTTTTTTTTTTTTTTGGCAGCTGGCCAGTACAGGGATATGGTACCAAACATTTGTTGAAGCCATATTTTCAGCTACAAGGAGAAGAAACCCCAAAATGAAAACTAGACTGAAGTTTTTGTTCTCATGTAAAGCCCAGGACTGATATGGTACCCCTGGCATCAGGGATTCAGGCTCCTTCTATATTAGGTTCCTCAATAGGGTTGTTAACATTGAGCAGGATAATTCTTCCTTGTGTGACACTGTTCATGCTTCTCAGGATGCTAAATATCCATGACTCCCAGCCACCAAACATCAGTAACACTCTCCAGTGATTGTGACAATCAAAATGTCCCCACAGGCTTCCAGGGACATGGAAGTGGTGGGGGGATCATGCCATGTCCAGTTAAAAACCACTGTTATTTTCCTCCACCTTGTGTGGCCTCCATTCCCAAGTTGCTTCACGATCCAAAATGGTTGCTTGAGCTCCAGCTTTTACATCTACATTCCAACCAGTAGGAAGGAGAAAAGAGGAAGGAGGTACCTCTTCTCTTTAAGGACATTTCTTGGAAGCTAGTTGCCCAACTACACACCCTCCTACATCCCATTTGCCAGAACCCTAGCCACATGGGCATACTTAACAGCAAAGAAGATGGAAAATTATTGCTGGCAGCATATGCCCAGCTCAAATTCACCAATGCTGTCACTGAGGTAGAAAGGAGGCTGTCAGTTACATGAGGACAGTGTTGTGTCTGTCTTGTTCCAGTGCCTAGAACAGTGCTTGGCATACAGTAGGCATTTATAATAAGTTTATGTTGAATGAATACATGAGTGGATATTTTGGTAGAACAGGGATCTACTACATGTTGGGCCCTGCACAGAATGGTGACTGGGATCCATAAGGATGCAGTTTACTGGGGAAGAGGGACACACAGGTGACTGTATCACAGTGATGCACACTCTGGTATTGTAGAGCTGTTAAGGGCACTGTCGTGGGCTTCAGGCAGACCTAAGATTGAGTGTGGCTCACCACTGCTTAGCTGTGTGACCTTGGGCAAGCAGCTTAACCTCTCTGAGCCTGCACCTGCTCATCAGATAAAATGGGGGTCATACCAATACCTTCTGCCTTACAGGGTGTTTGTGAGGATTACCAAGAGTGCCTAGCACAGTGCCTGGCCTGGAGTTAGTGCTTTATAAATGTTAAATAGTGTTAACTTATTTTTAGAGGTAAGTGCTGTGGATCCTGTGGCAACATAGAAGAGGAGTCCCTAACCTAACTCTGGAGGCTGAGGAATCAAGGAAAGCTTCCTGGCAGAGGGGACAACCTGAGTTGATATTTGAAGGACAAATACTTACACAAAGGGAAGAGGGATCCCCACAAAGGGAACAGCATGTGCAAAGGCCAGAGCTTATGAAGAACAAGGCTTATTAAACTGTCCAGTGAGGCTGCAAGATGAAGTTGGGGTTGGAACGGGGGCTGAGAGTGTTTAGAGGTGAGGCTGCAGGGGTCATGAAAGGTCAGGGATAAGAAGGATGGATTTGCCCACTAGGCATGGGGGACCTACTGAAGGTTTTCAGGTAGGGGTGAGAGAAGAGACGCAGAGCAAAGGAGAGACATTAGAGAGCCAACTGCATCCCATCTATTTGAGAGCAGGCCCACAGAGGTCAAATCAGGTTCTTATGGCCTCATCAGCCAGGGCTGGGTGTTGGGGTAATGGGGGCCCACCATGGGATCGGGGGCAGTGCTGGGAGATAGATGAGGATTGGAGTGGGCTGTGGCATCACCCCCCCCCTCTCCCTCACCTGCAGCTTCGGGGTTGCTGCTCTGGGAGCTGCTGACGGGTGAGGTCCCCTACCGTGAAATCGACGCCTTGGCTGTGGCATATGGTGTGGCTATGAACAAGCTGACGCTGCCCATCCCCTCCACGTGCCCCGAGCCCTTTGCCCACCTACTGGAGGGTGAGCCAGGGCCCCATGAAGAGGGTAGCCTCAGCTTGGTATGGCAGGGGCCCTTGGGCCCATTTCTCTCCCTGTCACACCCATCCATACCAGTGGGCCCAGGAGTAAGCCCCATAATTGTCTCCCTTGTTCTTGTCAGGCCCAGAGATCTTGAGGGCAACCTGTTAGGATTCATTGGCCCTGGGATTCCTCCCTGATACTTGATCCCACCACCAGCCACTCTAGGGAGTAGGTCCCTGGGTTTCTCCCCCAACATTTCACTGAGTGAAATATTGCCAGGAACTTAGCTTTGGATTCCTTCCCCTCAGCTCCACAGAAGCTGTTTGTCCATAGTCCCCAGAAATCCTGCCTTCCTCTGAGTGGGCTGATTCCCCAGAGCATGATTACTGACACCCCTGTCCCGCACCACTATCTTTCCCCTTCCCACCCCAGAATGCTGGGACCCAGACCCCCACGGGCGACCAGATTTCAGCAGTATCTTGAAGCAGCTTGAAAACATTGAACAGTCAGCCCTGTTCCAGATGCCACTGGAGTCCTTCCACTCACTGCAGGAAGACTGGAAGCTAGAGATCCAACACATGTTTGATGACCTTCGGACCAAGGAGAAGGTGAAGGCAGCGGGCAAGGTGGGAGGGACAGAGCAAGATCTTTGGGTTCTGATGCCTTGGATGGCTCAGAATCCCTTCCCCTGAACCCCAGCCTTTGGGTTCATGCAGGGTCAAGGGAGCCTTTTTTGCATATTAAGAAAAGACAGCCTCCTGTTGGTGGATTAATAAGAAAAAGGCACCCTGTACTGAAGTACTTACAGGTGATACTGCATGATGTCTGGGATTGGCTTTAAAATACTACAGCAAAAATGAAGAAAGGGTGAGAGGAGAGAAAGAAGGGGATACAAGATTTGCAAAGTATAGATTATCATTGCAATTTGATGATGGGTCCATGGGGGTGCACTGTTTCTGCTTTTGTGGATGTTTGAAGTTTTCCAAATTGAAAAGTTAAAACATAAAAAGAGAGGGGAAAAAAAGAAAAGGAAAAAAAAGGCATCCCTTTCTTTGGGCTAATACAGTCCTACACTCTGGCACCCAGGTTGGCTAGTGAAGTTTGAGTTGGATTGTGAATCCAATGTGTCCCACAATAATGTGCCCTTGTGCAGGGCACCGACCAGACCCAGCAGCCCCAGGTCCATCTCCAGGGGGCAGAGTGACTGCACCCCTCCCCCCAGCCACTGCGTGTCCTCCCCAGGAGCTCCGGAGCCGTGAGGAGGAGCTGCTGCGGGCAGCACAGGAGCAGCGCTTCCAGGAGGAGCAGCTGCGGCGGCGGGAACAGGAGCTGGCAGAGCGGGAGATGGACATTGTGGAACGTGAGCTGCACCTGCTCATGTGCCAGCTGAGCCAGGAGAAGCCCAGGGTCCGCAAACGCAAGGGCAACTTCAAGCGCAGCCGTCTGCTGAAGCTGCGGGAAGGAAGCAGCCACATCAGCCTACCCTCCGGTACCCACCTGTGTCCCCCAGACATCTCCCAAGAGACCGCTGGGAGCATCCCTAATCCAGGGTTTAGCTCTTCCTTTTATTTTTTATTTTTTAACTTTTTTATTGCTAAATCTATCACACATAGAAAATGACCAAAAAAAAAAACCGTACAGCTTAATGAGTTATTCTAATCACCTCCCATGAAAGCAGAAAGAACCCAGGTGCTTTCCACATGCCCCCGCAAGACACAACTTCATGCCACTCCCTAAGAGTAACCCCTGTCTTGACTCTTAGGGCAGTCACTTCTGTACTTTTCCTTATAACTTTATCTCTCAACTCATTTTTAAATATCTTTCAATCTGCCTCTTTTCCCCCTTGCCAATCATTTGTTGAGGAACTTCATCATCTGTCCTGTGGAGTTTCCTGAAGTCTTAATTTTGCTGTTTGCTTCCCCCTGGAATCATTTAACATGTTCCTCTGTCTCCAGATTTCCTAAGAATCGCTATTAGGTTAAACCGTGTGAAATTGCTGATGTTCAACCATTTTTGCCCTACAAAAACAAGTTTCAGGGCAGGCCTGGTGGCGCACTGGAGAGTGCGCCGCTTGGGAGTGCGGCGGCGCTCCCGCTGAGGGTTCGGATCCCATGTGGAGACCGGTTCCCGCTCACTGGCTGAGCGCGGTGCGGGCCCAACACCGAGGGTTGCGATCCTGTTGCCATTCCCGGTACGGGTGCGACACTGAGGGTTGCGATCCGTTGCTGGACACGAAAAAAGACAAAAAGGAAAAAAAAAAAAAAAAGTTTCACAGGAGCAACCTAGTAGTTGGAACTCAAGGCTTAATAAGATTCAGGTTCAGGTTTGATTTTTTTGTTGTTTTTGTTGTTGTTGCAAAGACTGCTTTCCAGATAATGTTGTGTTTACCTGTCAGGAGAGCACACAATGTCTGGTTGTCTCTCTCTTTGTGATGTTACAAACCACAAAGCAGTGCCAAGAGCAGCACTGGCCAGTGAAAATATAATGCAAGCCATGTGTGTAATGTTAAACTTTCTGGTAGCCACATTAAAAAAGCAAAAAGAAACAGGTGACATTAATTTTAATATATTTAGCCCAATATATCCATGCAATCAATACAAAAAATTGTTAATGAGATTTTTTTCACACTAAATATTTGAAATCCACTGCATATTTTTTATTTACAGCAAATCTCAATCTGGTCAGTTAAGTTTTCATCAAAAATATTTTATTTGTATTTAGATTTCATAAAATGGGGTTTTTTAAAGGAATTTATTAAACATTGTACATATTTATGGAGTACAGTTATATGGATGAAATCAGGGTAGTTAGCAAATTCATCATCACTAAAATTTTTCATTTCTTTGTGATGAGAACACTTGAGTTCCTCTCTTCTAGCCATTTGAGAACACACAATAAATTATTGCTAATTATAGATGCCTAGCACTACTGTATGCCCCTAGAACTTATTTTTCCTATCTAGCTGTGATTTTGTGTTCATTAATCAACCTCTCACTATCCACCCTCTTCACAAAATTTGGAACTGAAAAAGTAGATTCACATACCCAACTTGTTCCAAACATGCTTAAACTAATTTAATTCTAATAACCAAATTGAGTATCTGTTTTAAATTTAAACTTAATTACAATTAAGGAAATAAAGGTTAAACTCCAGTTCCTTGGTTGCACATCCCACATTTCAAGTGCTCAGTTGCCACAGGTAGCTAATGGCTACTGTATGGGATGCTCAGGGTTCTTAGTTAGGGCAGAACTTGTTCTACCACAGTTAGACTGCTGCGGCTCACCTCCCGATGTGCTAATTCAGGGAGGGCCCAAGAATTTGCATCTCTAAGAGATTTCAGGCTGACATTGATGCTGCTGGTCTGGGGACCACACTTTTGAGAAAGACTGCATTAAGGAATAAAAAAAGGTGGTGTTCCCAATCTATTATTCTTTCTATACTTCTACAAAGGAAACTTTCCTTGGTTACCCATGGAATCATTTGCTTAGGAAAGTTTCTCTTCCTTTTTGCAGGCTTCGAGCATAAGATCACAGTCCAGGCCTCTCCAACCCTGGACAAGCGGAAAGGATCCGATGGGGCCAGCCCCCCTGCAAGCCCCAGCATCATCCCCCGGCTGAGGGCCATTCGCCGTGAGTATCTCTCAAAGCTCTAGCCAGCCAGTCAGCAAACGTCTCTGAGCACATACCTGGCACCAAGCTGGAGGAGTAGCAGGGAGCAAGACAGGCAAGGCCCCTTCCTTACTGTCATCAGAGAGAAACAGACAGTAAACGTCAGTAAGCAGGGTAATTTCTAGTAGTGATTAAGTGCTATAAAGGAACTCAGAAGGGAAAAAAAGAGAAGGTGTGTTAGCCAGAGTTCTCCAGAGAGACAGAATTGGTAAGATATATACGGATACATAGAAAGAGATTTATTATGAGGTATTGGTTTACATGATTATGGAGGCTCTGAGAAGTCCCACCATCTGCTGTCTGCAAGCTGGAGGCCCAGGAAAGCCAGTGGTGTTCCGTGTTCAAAGACCTGAGAACCAGGAGCGCCAGTGTCCAAGGGCAGAAGATGAATCTCCCAGCTCAAGCAGAGAACAAATTCACCCATTCTCTGCCTTTTTATTTTATTCAGGCCCTGAATGGATTGGGTGATGCCCACACACATTGGTGAGGCCAATCCTTTTTTTACTCAGTCCACTGATTCAAATGCTAATCTCTTCCAGAAACACCCTCACAGACATACCCAGAAATAATGTTTCACCAGCTGTCTGGCCACCACTTAGCCCACTCAAGTTGACACATAAAGTTAACCATCACTTACCGGCCAGCTGCCAAAAAATCATCATCATCATCATCACAGAATGGTTGCTATTTTAGATCTGGAAGTCCTGTCTGAGGACATGAGGTTTGAGCAGGGACCTTCGTGGTAAGGAGTGAGACATGCTGAGATCTGAGAGAAAAGTGCTCTTGGCAGAGGGAATAGCACAGGCACAGCCTGGAGGCAGGAACAAGCATGGCACATTTATCAGCCCAGAAAGCCAGCTTTGCTGGACGAGAGTGAATGGGAGGGAGAGCGTAGGTGTTGTGGTCAAGGGGGCCCCAGGGCCAGATCTTGCAAGACTTGAGAGCCAGAGTAAAGACTCTAGGTTTGATTTTAAACCCCTAGAGGGCTGTGAGCAAGGTGGCAATGTGATCAAATTGACCTTTCCCCTCTAGCTGCTGTGAAGAAATAAAGGTGGAAAGGTCAGTGAGATGATGGGGGCTGGACCAGGGTGGTGGACTTGGAAGGGAGAGATGGCCACACCTGGGGCTGCATGGCAGAGGTGCGGTCGTCGGAGTTCATTGATGGGTTGACGGGTGCTAGGCTGACTCCTGAGTCTGTTCCACCCCATCGTTCACCCCAGCCTTAGCCCCACCCATAGCCCCCATACCCACCTCTGTTTGGGTACCTGCTTTGTTCCAGACCCAGGAGGTCAATCTAGTAGGGGATGCAGAGACAAATAACCACACAATGGTAGCAAGTACTAGTACCAGGTATGTTCAAAGTGCAGTAGGAACAGAAGAGAGAGCTACTGACTCTCCAGGGAACTAACTGCTCAGAACTGGAGGCTTGAGGGGCCAGCAGTCAACCAGAGTGAATGGCTGGAGGGTTGGGTGGTGGCAGATGAGGCTGAGGAAGTGGCCATGGAATAGCTTATGAAGGGCCTCGAATGCCAGGCTTAGGAGCTGGGACCTCATCCTGACAGCAGTAGGGAGCTATAGAAGAATTTCTAGCAGGGAAGAGTCATGACTGTACTGAGAAAATCCCTTGAACTCCCAGGTAGATCTGAGGTAGGGAGATTGGGCTGGGAGACTCTCCAAGACCCAGTAACCAAGTGGTTTCTTTCAACCCAGTGACTCCTGTGGACTGTGGTGGTGGTGGCGGCAGCAGTGGCAGCAGCAGTGGTGGCAGTGGGACATGGGGCCGCAGTGGGCCCCCAAAGAAGGAAGAACTGGTTGGGGGCAAGAAGAAGGGCCGGACATGGGGACCCAGCTCCACCCTGCAGAAGGAGCGGGCTGGAGGAGAGGAGAGGTACTGGAGGAGCTGGTTCCCAGCTGCACCCTGTGCCCCAACCCCAGGCCCAAGGCAGTCACAGGGCTGACCCCCGCCCTCATCTCTCGGTGCCCTCTGCAGGCTGAAGGCCCTGGGGGAAGGAAGCAAACAGTGGTCATCCAGCGCCCCCAACCTGGGCAAATCCCCCAAACACACACCCATCGCCCCTGCCTTTGCCAGCCTCAATGAGATGGGTAAGAGGGTCAAGGTGCTCCTAAAAGGGAGGGGGAGGGGACATTTCCTGACCAAAAGGGAGCAGAACCCAGAACAAGGGGTAAAGCCATTCCCCAGGGCTGGGGGCAGGGGACAGGATTTCACCGGGCCAGTGATCAGGAGGCATTCCTGAAAAGGGGGATAGCTGGTCCCTGGGATGTGGGGTCATTCCCTGTATCAAGGAGCACCCTTCCCTGAGGCTTCTGGGGGAGAAAGAATCATGAGCGATGCCTAGTGGGACTTGATGGTCTTGCTGTTTGAGGAGTCGTTGGACGTAGTCTCCGGGGGCCGTGGGGCTAGGGGCCTGCCCGGCAGTGGAGTGACACCCCTCTCTGGTTGCAGAGGAGTTCGCGGAGGCGGACGGCGGCAGCAGCGTGTCCCCTTCCCGCTACACTCCCCCCTCCTACCTCACGGTGCCACTGCCCGCTGAGCCCTCCCCAGGGGCGCGGCAGGCTCGCTGGGAGCCGGCGCCGGCCTCACCCGCCTTCCGGCCTGGGCACGGCGCGCGGCGGCGCTGCGACCTCGCG